GGCGCTCCCGGGCAGGGAAAGTCCTCGACTTACGACCGGTTGGGTAGTCCTCGACTTACGACCGGTTTAGTCCTCGACTTACGACCGGTTGGGGTCGCGGCATTAAAAAGGTTGAGAACCACTGATTTAACGGATTGTAGTTTATAACATGGAGAATAAACCTTATCTCCTCCCTTTTCTCATTTCTCTCCTAGACTTTTGTTTTAGTTGTGTTGTGTTTAGTTTTTTGTTAGATTCCAACTTCAGTATGGCAGTTTACCAAAATTAGAAAGCGGAGGTTTGTGAGCTGCAGATTGCCCAATCTGTCAGAAATGTTTGGGATTAAGTTATTGGATATCTGCCACCAGTCAAGTCTACACAGTTGCTAAGTTCACTTCTGGCCCCACACAGAGTTTTGTTTTTTTTTTTTAATTTTTAGGATAAGGATTGCCCTTTAAATTTAAGTGGCATGAAGACGATTGCAGTCCAAATAAAACAACCATGACAAAGAAATGAGCAGTACCAAGGCAACCTATACATTCGATTTTAACTTCATTAATATTTAAATTTAATTTAACATTAAGCATATGCAGTTAGATGACGACTCCTTGTGTATTTAATCATTTCCCATTTCTGTCATATTAAAACTTAATAATTTGATAGTAAATTTTTGAGGATTTCAGAAGCTGCAAACAATCTTGCTGCATATTTTGCCTTGTTGTTAAACAAATATTAATTTGATGATAATATAGACAGTCTTTTCAGTGGTGGCTTTGCATTTGTGGAATTACATTTTCTCAGTACTTTGGAGACACAGCTACAGTATTGTTGTTTTTTTTTATGAGAACCGCTGTTCTTGGAAACGAGGGTTATAACAATATTGATTAATGAATGCTATAGTTCCTATTTAATCCTTAGAGTGGATTTTAAGGTGGTCTTAAAACTGTATTATGCCTTGTATAGACTATCTGAACACATTATTTTAGCACAATGTAAAGCCATTTTAATTTTTTCATTAAATAAGGAATTATGACCAATGCTAGAAGTAAAAAAATGTGGACGGTAGTAATTCTAAGCTATGGCTGAATAGTTTTAAGTGTGACTTATTTCCAGTCTACATTTGACTTAACAATGTGCTAGGACAGTGGTTCTCAACCTGTGGGTCGGGACCCCATTTGGGGTTGATCGACCATTTCACGGGGGTCGCCAAGCAAGGCTGTCCGCCATTTTTTTGTCTGCCATTTTTTTTGTCCGCCATTTTTTCCCCTTTTCCGGCGGGTGCCTTACCTCCCTTGGGCTGGGCCAGCTGGTGGTCGGCCTGCTCCGTCTCTGCCGCTTGCCAGCTACGCCTCGGCCGGCGCAGGGGGCGGAACCACGCATGCGTGGCGCTCCCGGGCAGGGAAAGTCCTCGACTTACGACCGGTTGGGTAGTCCTCGACTTACGACTGGCTTAGTCCTCGACTTACAACCAGTTTAGTCCTCGACCTACGACCGGTTGGGGTCACGGCATTAAAAAGGTTGAGAACCACTGTGCTAGGATATGTTTATATCTTTAAGAAGACTATTACAATTTGAGCAAAAGGAAACACTGAAAGAACTGAACAAAAAGAATAGAAGCAAAGGAAATATGTGGAGTTTATTAATATATTGCAGGATTTCGCAGGCCAAAAAAAGCTCTTTATTCTGATTTTAGAGTGAAACCAATTTTTAAAAACCTGATCCAATGTGCTCCAAATAAATAATAGAATTAAAATGTGAAGAGAATATAGTGAAAATGGGCTACATGTAGATGTTAGTTATCACCAGATGATTTTATCGATGATTGTTGAATGTTTCTGTTTTAACTGAAATTGCCAGTGGTATATAGAAAATTCGATATCACCATCTTTTAAAAAAGAGATAATAGTGAAGTCTTTAAAAAAATCTTTAACCCATAAAGCTAAAAGCGGGTGCTACATGATGCTAGAGCGCCATACAAAACATATACATTGCTTATTTTCTGAGGTTTATGATAGAATTAGGAGCTGAATTCAATAAATATCCTTCTCTCTTACATTTTTTGTGTGCTATTTTAGGAATTACCTTGCACCTGCAGAGATGCAAACACTGCATGAGGTGATGTATTTCAATGCAGCTAATACCCTCCGAGAGCATTTGAATGCCACCCCACGTGCTGCTCTCCACACTGCTCTCAACAAGCCATACTTCTATCTTAAGGTAGGAAATAAGAACAAGGCAATAGTCTTGTGGCCTCATTTCTAACAAGGGTTCCCATTTCTGGAGTTTTCTTTTTTAAAACAACGTTCTTTATTGGGATTAACATGAGTAAATCTCACAGCATCCCACTGCTTGAAATGTTGCTAGACAAATTAAACTCTCAGTGAGATACAGTTTGGAGGTATAACTCGGGTGTTTTGGTATGTTGATGTGCATGTTGTTTAATATGTGAAAATCTGTTAATGAATTCATGACTTGTTAATTGTCAGTTAAAATATTTTGATGACTCTAGGAATTTAATTATCCAGGCTCATGATCACTCTGGGATTTATTTTATCAGCTTTAATAACCTCTACATCAGATAGTTATTTCATTTCCTTTGTCCCCCTCAAAAAAGCCAACTTTAAGCAATATGAGATGCTTCATCTCTCTTCCAAAATGTTTACTGTATTGTTCTAAATCTATTCCCTTCCCAATAATTTTTCCAGAAAGACAGACTTCCTAAATACCATATTTACCCAAAAGTAAGATCCCTCCCCCAACATTCTTGAACAAAGATATTTTTGGGCATAACCTAGGTTTATATCAATTCCACATTCTGAAATGGCACATCTAACAAAACAAGTTTACATTAACCTCAGCTTTATTAAATCGTAAGCCTCAATGCCACCCCAAATTTCAAATAATTCTAACTTCAAAATACTCCTGTTTCTCAGCAGCATTCATTGTTTTACCAAACTAAATAACAAGCTGCAAAGTATAACTTCAAATGCAACACTCCTGTGTCTTTTACAGCTTGTAATGCCTTATATTTAACTCAAGGTTTTTCCCATGCCCACACAAATTTAGATATATCTTTTCTTAATTGGCTCATCGGATGTTAAAATGGGCATTGTGTGGAACAAAAATAGCATTCTAGGCAAAACATCTTAATCACTGAAATTCTTAAGACAATTTTATTTTCTTCTTTAAAAAGATACGTACAGTATCTTCTTTAAAATGATATATACAATATCTTTTTAAATTGCATTTCATAATTATTTTGAAATAGCATACTATTTGTATTTGTCATATTATTACCCAAGTATTTTACTTTTTTCTGAAACTTGAAATGTTTTATTTATCAACTCTATTTGATCTTATATCAAACACCTTGATCTTCTGTTTCTTGATCTTAAAACTTGCTAATGCATCAAATTCTTTGTTTTCCCATTAATATTTCAATTCCCTTTAATCGATCTTCTAAAGAGAAGCAACCTAGAACTAAGGAGAAACTTCCTGACAGTTAGAACAATTAACCAGTGGAACAACCTGCCTCCAGAAGCGGTGAATGCTCCAACACTGGAAGTTTTTAAGAAAAGACTGGACAGCCATTTGTCCGAAATGGTATAGGGTTTCCTGCCTGAGCAAGGGGTTGGACTAGATGACCTCCAAGGTCCCTTCCAACTTTATTATTATATTATATAAATCAAAACTAAGTGATCTGCAAAGGCTCTTTATAAGCCGCTTTTTAAATCTTTGCACCCATAGTCTTCTCATCTTATTTTATTTCCTCTATTCAGTATTTCAAGAACTAAAATAAACAGAAGAGGGGGCAATGGCAGCCTTCTAGTTTCTAGCTTGTTGCCTTAACCACTACACTAAGATGGCTCTTATTTAATCATGCAGCTAAATACAAACCAATAAGTTATCCCTAGGAAAAGCCACTTAAAAGATCTGCATGGCCATTTATATTACTTTCTTCCATAATATGATTCTATATAGTACAATAAAAATGATATAATATTGTATAATTTACTAAGTGTAGTGCAGACAGGAGAAGGTATGGACAATAATTTGATTTCCAATTATTTGCTCAAAGAAGATCTGGAAATGACATTATCCGATACATTTCTTATGCGTGTTGATGCTTTTAGTATCAATAGTAGTAGTTTCTCAGTTATGTTTGAGTATTCTATATTCTAAAATATAAAATGAGAGCAAACCCACTCTCCACTAGCACTAATTCGTTACCTAGTTTGGGGAATGAAACATCTACAAGAAAGCAGCAAACTCAGAGATTTCAGACCTGAACTACAGATACTAATACTAATGAAAAATATTAATGAAATATTTTTCACACTTTGAGGCCTGCTCGGTCTGTTTCATTAGTTATAAAACTAGGATAAAAGTTCATACCATAGGTGATAAATATCTCTTAACTACAAAGATTCCCCCCCCAAAAAATCCTCTGCAAGATTTGTGAAATGGAGATGGTTTGTCCAGTAAAAGAGATTACCTATTAACAAAAGAACCACATACAAACTATTGAAACTGACATTCCTTGAAGAATTTAGTCAGTTTGTCCATTCTCATGCCTCATTTCCACATGACTAGTTGAAGCGCTAAGAACGCAGCAATATATTAAGTACTTCCTTGTCTTCACTTATCATTCTTTTCTGAAAATACAGTAGGATCCTAAGCAAAATCTACAGCAAAAATAACATTTTAAGTACAAAGAAAATAGAGACTCCTTGGAATTACAAAAAATATATGTGAAATATTTCTCCATGTAATTTTATCATTGGGAAATTATGATAAAATAGTATACAACTGGGGGAGGCGGCAGCTGCTGATCCCCTTGAAAACTAAGCAAGTCTGCACCTGGTAGTACTTGAATGAAAAACCATCAGGAGCCAAACTAGGAAAGAACAATCTAGAACAGGGGTGTCAAACTGGCAGCCCGCGGGCCAGATCACATGCAGGCCATGCCCACTCCGGCTCCGCAAAGGCAAAAAACATCACGATGCATCACGATACGTCGTGTGATGCAATCAAGTTTGACACCCGTGATCTAGAAGAAGGTAATCTATTCCTGCATTGCTGCCAACAAAACTAGAGGAATGTGACGGTGTAGTTACAGCCACACTGATGCAAATATGTCTGTACTAGTACAGATTGCAAACCATTTAAAAGTTGCTATAAAGTACTAAAGAAATGTCCAAGATCTTGTACTGAAATAACACTTTATAGCAAGTATTAAAACTCATGCTAACTTCCTGTTATTGTTGCTTGTGACTCCAAAAAATAATAATTATAAACAGGATAGTGATGTAGTTACAGCTTCTGGAGAAGATACCTGGATCACTGGCAAGAGAGCTCAGTCCAAGGAACTCTTACTTTGCAATCCTAACGACATCTCAAGACAGTAGGAAATAACTGGGCACATACACGAAGTTTAGCTTGGCTATCTTTATCTGAGATAATTGCCTTCTCCATAAAAAAGCAGCGTTTGTTTTTTCCTGGCATCAATTCCAGTGAGCCAGACAGGCGAGAAAATTGGTCTTGTAAAATGGAATAGACAAGAAAACGAAAGAAAATAGCCCCATAAACTGGAACCGTTGCATATCTCCACTTGCAACTGTCTGACCTGCTGTTATTACTTTGTGGGGGGGGGAGGTTGTCGCTGTTTTTTAAGGTTCACTTAACACAGCTGTGGGGAAAGCATGCTTGCATTATCACTGTGATGTTGAGAAGCTACCATGTGCATTATAGTACACTAGCTATAGCTGAGGATACCATTACCATATCAATGAAAGATACCTGGCGCCTATTTTTGTGAATTTTGTCTAACAGGATGACTCCTTGAAATGTGATGCAGAATCTATTTCTGATGCAGCTCCTGATATTTGCATAGCATACAAGCTTCATTTGGAGTGTGGCAGATTGATTAACCTGGTTGACTGGTTGGAGGTAGGTAAAATGATTCAATGGACACCTGCTATTCTGCTGGATGTTTTTTTAAGCCGCTCATTCATGCTGACTACTAGACTCAGTATAAAAGTATCCTGCCTTCAAATCAAATCTTCAGTACAGCAGTAGACCAGCATAAGACGGGCCGGGTACAGTTAATTAAAAAGCATTGAAGACACATCAGTGCAGATCCTTCATGTTCTTCCAGGGTATGTCAAATCACAATTTGTGTAAATCCTTCTGGGTTTTTTGTACCAAGATTCAATAAATTAATGCATTAGTAACGAGGCTCATCTCTGCTAAGCATCTTCCATCACTATTCCCATTTCTGCTATTTTCTCTTATTCAAGAGCAACTACACATCATTGGAGTTTGTCTTAAAGAGCAGGGAGATGCTCCTCCTTTAAAGGGTTTAATTTTCTGGAGGAAAATAGCACAGAATGCGCCTTCTGTTTTGTAAGTTGGGACTTTGGGGAGAATGGGAAACAGAGGTCATTGTTCCCTCTGGCAAAATGAAGGGAAAGCCTCTTCCATTTCTTGCTCTGTGAGGCCCTGCTAATGCCACTTTTTCTTCTACCAAGGAGATAGAAGAAAGGCCATGAAATGTTTGTTTTTTTCATGGACTGGATTTTTGCAGAATATGCCAGCCATAATTTGTTGCTCCTTTTTGCAAAAACTAAAAGGAGAAAAAAAACGTTTTTCTTTTGCAAGCAATTGTGTTTTTCATATTCTAACTCATAGGAGCAAAATCAATTTTCTTTCATCCATAGGAAATTTATTTTCTGCCTTTAAATGTGTGCAAGTAGTTTGACTTTCTCACAGCATCCCAAATGAAAAAAAAAACCCAATCTATTTCTTTTCAGTTGTGGTAAGAAAAGAAGTCATAGTTTTTACTTCTTTATGGTTTTTTTGCATTGGCAAAATGATGTATTGCTGCTGATTTTGGCATAAGCACAATTTGAAAGAATGTTCTATCTATGGAGAAAAAGATTAGGGACTAAGTTTTGTTAGAGATACCTGCAGTGGCAGGCTACATTCCTTTAACGAATAGCAGAAAGGGTATCAGTTTTCTGAAAAAAAATAAATAACCAAGTTTGGAAATAGATGGGTAAGAACTGAGAAATAATGAATGTGGCTAATAAAGCCAACTTTTTACCTTTGCTTAGGACTCTTTTGCTTTTGTTTCATCTTTATGGTTACCCGCTTAAATTAGGATGGAAACTATTTTGCAACTTGCGATATTTGTTCTGGAATTATCAGAAATATTTGACAATCTTGTTATGCAATAAATTTATATTAATTAAAAAACCCCACATTAAAATATACATAGGCATTATCTCTCCCTGTCTCCTTGTTGGTCTTTGATGCCCTGCTTCTTAACAATGACAATCTAATATGTAAGCTAGGATGTACAACTTTTCTGAATGTTTTATAACATGGTGTTATTTCTCTAGGCTTTTTCAACAGTTGTAACTGCAGCTGGAAATACAGATTCCACAATAAAAAACCAGACAGATGACATTATCCAGTATCCTTGTTGATATTCTAAGAAAATCAGCATTTAATTCAAATAAGTGTAAAACTGCAATCTTTTACTTACCCAGGAATAGAACCCATAAAAGTTCTTGTGACTTCCACCATCTACAAAATTCCTGTGCATTAGCTCTTTGAATTCAGTGGAATTATTTGTGAGTAAGCAGCAGAGAGCATTGTAATGTTATCATGCAATCTGGAGAGTTTCGGAGCACATGAAAATAGCTTTTTATAGATGAAACCACTGTATATGAGGGGATTTAAGTCATAATGTTGGGGTGAAAGTGCTAGGGCTCTCATTGTTTGACTTCAAGTTGATTCCAGATATTATCTCCCATAAAATGGTAACGGCTCTATCTAATGAAGAATCCCAGTAGGACAAATCAGAATAAGGCAGTTTCAGAATTCTGCTGCTACTTCAGATTAGTCTACTATATGGTAGCATGCAAGGTGATCTACTGAGAAATTTGGGATGTAACAAGTTAATGAGGAAATAAAGGAAAATAACTTTCTGGGAACTTTAGGGCAGATTATTGAGGATGCTAAGCAGTAGAAGCAAGTAGGAAAAAAGGGCTTTACCATAGAGTAAATGTTTAACCTACTCTTGAAGATGAATTCCAGAGATATCCAAATTTGCTGCATTAGTTTGAAGATATATTACTTGGTAGATTGAGCATACATGCAATATTGTATGGCTATTGCAAAGAAATGTGAGCAATCTATGAACATGCTAAATTGTGTAGTAAACCATCCCAAATTTGTTCTGTTATGTATAGTAAATTATTTTATCTTGATTGATGGAAATGCCATTTCCTTGACTTAGAACTCCAAGTGCTCGGTTCATTAGAGCAGTGTCAGAATTGGAATTTTTGGGATTCATAAAACCCACAAAACAGAAAACGGATCACGTGGCAAGGCTGACATGGGGTAGTTGTTAATATGCAGTTCTCGTGCAAATGAAAGCTCATCTATGAAACAAGATTCTGTGGCAGTTAAGAGAAATATTATCCACTGTAATAACAGCAATAAAGTATACAAAACGATTTCCTGGATTTTGCTCTTTTTCTAAGTAGGCATAGAAGTATCTGCTTATATAGAAGCAAGATAACTGGACGCATTTTGGATTAAGATACACTTTTATGATGCTTCAAGCAGAGTATTGCCAGTTCAAGCCCATCTCTTCATCACTTAACCATGTACTTCTATTCTTTCTTCATCATGTTAAATATTGTTACTTGGGCAATATATTTCTTTCCTTTTACGTTATTCTTTGAACGTAATATATTTTGGGCAATATATTTCTTTCCTTTTACGTTATTCCTTAAGATTTGTTTTTCAGAAATCGTGTTATTTTAAAATCAGTTATTTATACAAGATAGCTTTAAACTCTTAACACATGCTCAATCTGGATGGTTGATGTATATATTATGCTTAGTTTTTTCTGCATGCAGAGAAATTCGACATATAGCTCCAACTCGTAAAGGATAGATTATCCACATACACTTCATCATGTAGCTGACCTTGGTTCACCTAGTTTCAATTTATTTCTATCTTCCGTCTATCAAGGCAACAATTTAGATCATTCAGGCTTCAAAAACGCAGGCTGCCTTTTAGTTGGTAGCAGGGTTGCAAGTACTTCAAAAGTGCGCACTTCCAGACTTCCCTCCTAGCTTAGAAGAAAAGCACTAGAAGAAGCTAATTTAAGACAGTTTAACCTTTAATGGGTAGATAGATTCCTTAAAGCCATGGTACCTTTTCTTCAATCTTGTAGAAAAAGTCATCCTTGAAGTAAAAAAAAAAAAGGTGCTGCTTTATAGATCACATTGTCCACTTCATTCAAGTTAACTCATTTATGCATGGAAACGTGTTATATAAATCTTGAGTGACATCTATGCTGTCCAGGTTTGTGGAACTTCTAGCCACGTTTTTAGTTAAATTAGAATGTTTTGTTCATACTAGAACTGCAACCTTAAAATCAATTTCCTGCTACTGTATCATTTACAGCCCATCTTTTCTCTGGAAATTCCTGGCTTTCATGGAGGGTTCCCCTAATTTTATTTTAAAACAATTTATTTAGAATGGATTGCAAGAGGATGAATTGGCCCAAGGTGATATCGTAAGCTTCATGTAAATTTTGAGAAATTCAACTTAAGCCTTCCAGGTCCAAATCAGAATCATAATCACCACATAACACTGGGACTATTGTTCTTTGAATACATTTTCAGTTTTTCAGCTCCAGTTTTGTTAATTAAAGACAAACTGACATTCCCAGGCTAATCATTTTGGCATGTGAGAAGGCCGCTCAATAAACCTTTTACCCCAAATATAAATATGCAAACACATTTTTGCAAGGAACAGACACTGCAACTATTTGCAAGAAAAATGACATGTAAAGCAAATTGCCAATAATGCACAAAGAAGGCTTTCTTTACCATCCCCATAGGGAGATTTCTACTTGCAAGGCTACCAACTGTTCATGAATACTGCTACAGGAGAAGAACAGACTTAGCATTTTAGCATGTAAACACTTTAATTAAGGTACTATATTCCAGTGAACCTACATCTGTGCCCCTCATCCCCATATTAAATACATGTTTTACATCACTTTCCAAAGAGCTCAGAGCAATTTTCTTATATAGTTCACAGACCGTAGGGAATCAAAAGCACTTGATCTTAGCAGCAGTGAACTACACCATGTGTTTTAAGTCCGTTCTGTGCTTAATACTCTTGCCCCTTTTATCTAGATTTTCAAAGGCTCAAAGCCAACAATCCAGTGCAAATGTATAGCGGAAGCATATTAAAATCCATGAATCAAAATGGCAGAAATTCTGTAATAGAAATCTTGTTAAAATTACATACATGCCAGGAAGATAAAAGAATACAAACTTCTTGCTTAGAATAAAGAATTTGTTTCAAAGCAGAGAGGTGAATAGATGGGTATTTAAATGCAAGTCATGAGAGTATAACTAGAATGCCTTTGTAGTGATTTCAGTAGCAGCAGCACTGTAAAGTCATTAATGTAATAGATCCACTTAAGAGAGAAAAGTAATCCAAAAGGTCTAATCAAGTTTTCTTTATCCATATAAATGGCAAATTTACAATCTTGCAGCTGCAAGGAGGAAAATCTGGCAACTCCCTAAAAAAAGGTTCACACATTGAGTTCGGTCACAATAACAGAAGTAAAAACAAATGATCCGTTAAATAAGGTGTATATGGGAACATGTTCTTTTTAAACTTGGAAAACAACAGCCACTAAAACGCCGATATAAATATTGAGGCAATTTTCTTCAACCTCAAATTGCTTCCAAAGCAATGACATTTCAAATACCTACAATCTGGGATGAAGAAAGTTTCTCAAAACGTGAATAACTGTTCCTTAAGATACGCTGCTTCAAAAAGCATCTTGGCTAACCTCACATTTCTGAGTGTCAGAAATTATTATTCAGGTATACTTATTATGTAAGGCTTGCCTGTGAGGAGAGGAACTTGAAGAGATCATACCTGTTTTACCCATAATTTCTGTCAGCCTCACTCGCAGGAAGGTGGCTGCCTACACTAAAAAAAACAACCCTTCAGCATCAGTGAAGGCTTTGCTAACAGTTTTGGAAGCTTGATTTTCCATGAGAAACAATACAAAAAGGATTGTGACTACAGGAGGCTCTCCAGTGAAGATTCACCTTTCTACATATGAGGACGATGAAAACTATGGAGGAATGAAGGTAGCATGCCCATACCCTCTTCGCTCATACAACGTACTACGGGAAAGGAATGCTTGATGAGGGCCAAAATTACCTACAAAATCTCAAATTAGCCCTCAGCATGCCTGTCAACCTTAACAAAGCTTTCTAAGACATTCATATCTATACCTTTCTTTCTGAACTATTACCTAATAAATATTAAACATAGAAGTTTCATTTAGTACACTCACATCTATTTTATTTGAATGATGGCAAAAATGCCACTTATATAGGTAAAAACACAGGTTAGAAGTAAATGTTTTATTCTTTCAACTAAATTCCAGTACTACAAGGGCAGTAAAACAATGATACACTGAAAAATTGCAGCAATAAACATTTGTTAAAGACTGATAGAATAAATAAAACCTACAAAAATGAGAACTTATATAAACCCATTCTTAACCCCCCAAAAAGTCATGGAATACAAAAATGCCCTCCTTCACTATTTCACAGGCAGTACTGTGGGCTATTTGCTTAGAAGTTGTCCAGGGATTACATTCTAATTTAACTGTGAATACAACTTTGCAGTGCACAGTTATGAAAACCACACTAACTTCAGTCAGAAGTGTCATTCTACACTTTTATTTACACAACCAGTTAAGGGCAGAGCTCTAATACACCAGCTTTAATCCTTTTACTTTTCAAACTTATTAACAGAAGCCAAATTGTAATGATACAGCAAATGAGACCACTGGTATTAACAGGTAGCAAAGGTCCACATCCAGGTGGTACTGACATCAGGGAGCACTCCAAAACCAGTTGCTGCATAAGAGTGGTTGCCACTGACAAAAGCTTGAAATAACCAGTGTATACAGAGGGGGGGGGGGAGAGAGAGGGAATATGGCATTGTTGCAAGTCTTTAAAGGACAGCTTGCAACAATAGAACAGGGTTTCAGGGCTGCCCACATATGCAGAAAACATGATTCATGAAACATCTGAAAAGGAAACAAGAATCAAGTCAAGAAATAATACAACTGAAGAATGTACACAACTAAAGCACAACAAGAAACCCAGTTAAGATCACTCCACTTTGGGGATGATTCCACTCTTAGAAGAGTGGAGAAGTAGAGAGTTCCACTCCACCCCATTCTACTTTCTCAAACCACCAAAATCTAACATCAAGGAAGATAGCTTAAAATACTTACAACTTGCAGGCTGTTCTCCATATCGTCGCATGATTTGATCATGCGTAAACTTCACAAATGCGTCATACTGTTCTGTGATCAAAGAATATTTAAAGTAAGGTACCATACATAATGCTTCTTTTACAAGACAACACAAGGAAAATATTCTTTAAACATTGCATGCAGAGATGGAATTCAATGTTTGGCATTCAAAGATGAATACGCTTGCTGAAACATGAATCTTTCTTAAAATTTGTTTTTAGGGTTGTGGTATCATCTGAAGAAATGCAGAGTGAAATGTCAAGGGGATGATGAATTGCCTTCCCTCATGAAAATAAACCATTGTCCTCTGTTCTATCCATATTGTATCAGCTCCTTCAGTATTATGACTGAATAAATAAGCCTTTTTCCAGTCTAGGTCTGCACGTTTTGGATGACCTCAAAGGGTTACAAGTGGCAAAGCAAAGCCTAAGGACATCGTGCTGCAGTATTTTATTTCATTTTGTTTAGCACTGAAAAGTATTTTCTTAATTATGCAGAAAAGGATAATAGTATGCTATCAAGATTTTACTAAAAATTTCTAGTCATCTTAAGGACAAATACTTCAAGAAATTCAAATAACATTTCCACTGCATATAACATATGGAGATATATGCAAATATCTCAACTGCTGGCATAACAGTTATGCCTTTCCTCCATTTTTCACAAGGATAAAGTTATCCCAAAACAAATTGGTGGGAATACAGCAGTTAAGGGGAAGGTGTTCTACTGCACAATTGAAACCTTCTCCTATAAAAGGATATAGCTCACACTCTACATTAACAAAAAACCAGATTCTATCCTTATGTGACTTTATTTCAACAGGTTACAAGAGTCAAAACAGGTAAGTGACATCCTTGTTATTAGTGAATGACACTCAAAATGTAAGGATATTTGCAGCATAGTAACTCTTGATATCTTAATAATTAGTCAAATGCTTCTCTAAGAAAATTTGAGTCAACAGAGAGAGTGCTGATTCTTATAATATCCCATCTTCCTCTCCATCCTCATCAACTGTAATTTGTCAAGCTAAGAAGCAACCTAGAAGCCACCAAATGTTGGCTAAGAACATTCAGAATTCTTGAACATTAATCTTTACTGTGCTAAAAGAAAGTTAAAAACATCTAAAAAAAACTAAATGATTTCAAAGTTAAGTGGTATAAATTAATCATGCTGTTCCTGCAAAGCAGAAAGGTCATTATTAAAAGCCAGAGTAAAGTACAGCAATTGCCATCCAGAAATATGTAGTCATACAACAACGTATCAACAAGCTGAGCATCAGGATGGAAAATATAACAGTTGACGTACATTTTGTTTTTATCATACCTGCAAGTTTTGTGGTCAAGATTTCTTCATACTCTTCACGGATTTTCTCTTCACGTTCTTTGAGCAAGCGTTCACAGATCATTCCAACTTGTCTAAGAGTAAAGAGGGGCTGTTCTTTTTTCAGTGGTGGTGACGCTGCAGATGAAGTACCTTTGAACAAATATTTCCAGAGGTAATTCAAGTATGCTTTAGAGGATCTTACAGAAGACTAATGAAGATAACAGTTTACTTTAAAGTACTTTAAAGAATCAGATTACAACAATCATGGAAACTTAAACTCTAATGAAAAGACTGCATTTATAGCCCACCGGCTTCAGTACATTTTAAGGACAAGCCTCTGAATTAAATGTTGGCCATATATTAAAATCAGCAAGTTATATAACTAACTATACAGCCAATTTAGTGTAGTAGACAAGGCACCAGATTCGAAATTGGGAGACCATGACGTCTTTGACAGGAAGCAGCTGGGTGACCTTGGATCAGTCACTCACTCTCAGCATAGAAAGCAGACCATGGTAAACTAACTCCAAAACCCCTTGCTCAGAAAAACTGCAGGGACTAGTTTAAGCAGTCACCAGGAATGAAAAACTGACTTAAAGGTGCACACACACACACCACATATACACTCACCCATGCAAAGTTAGAACTATAGAAGTATGCCGCCATTGAGTAAGCAGCAATATAAATTTTCCAAACAAACATTAACGTAGTTAACAGTAGAAATATCAAATTTCTACAATCATTCAGATGTTTTATTTACAAATGGCTAAAAGTGAATGTGACTCAGAATTCTCATGCATTCCACTCCACAATGCACCTGAAGACAGAAGGGGGACAGATCTCACTAATTTTTCTTTCCCCTCACAGCCCTATTACTCCAACTATATTAATTTTGTTAGATGTACATCCTGGGAGTTGAAGTCCACAAGTCATAAAAGGGCCAAGTCTGAAGACCCCTGGTCTAGAAGCTTAAGGAGGCATACCATAGAGGGGGCGTTGTCTTACCTGAACACCTTTTCTCAGCATGACGATGGAGAATCCACCAATGGGTTTTGCTTGTCTTCTGCCCGTAGACTAAGTCAGCCAGTTTTTGCCATGCCTCTCTTCCTGGGTCCTCCTCTTCCCAGTCTCGACTGAGGCGAAGCTGTTGGCTATGTTTTTCATGTGTTGGCTCAAACTTTTCCCAGCACAGGACCTGACTGGCCCTAAGAGTGGGAGTGGATTCTCCATCGTCATGCTGAGAAAAGGCGTTCAGCTAAGACAACGCCCCTTCACCAGCATGACAAGTGGAGAATCCACCAATGGGACGTACCAAAGCCTCACTGTCCCTGTGGGTGGGAAGCCATCTGGGCCTGTGTCCCACTTCCTGACACTACAGATTGGAGGACCCTCCTGCCAAATGAGGCCTCCGCCAATGCGAACTTATCTAACTTGTAGTGTCTTATGAAAGGGGAAAGTGACGCCCACATCACCACCCTACATATTTCCTCAATCGGTGCCTGAGTTGCTCACGCTGCTGATGTTGCAGCGCTGCGAGTGGAGTGGGCAGTGATTTGTCTAGGAACTGCTAGCGACTGCCCCTGGTATGCCTCTGCTATGCACTTCCTGATCCACCTGCCGATTGTGGATGTTGTGACCCTTCGACCCCAGTGCAAGTGGAAGGAAACGAACAGGGCCTCCAATTTGCTGAAGAGTGCTGTTTGCTTTATGTATTGTCTTAAGGCCCTGCGAATGTCTAAGGTGTGTCATTTGCGCTCCAATTTATGGGAGGGCTGAGGACAAAAAACTGGTAGCACCACCGCCTGTGCCCTGTGGAATAGGGAGTTGACCTTGGGAATGAAGGAGGGGTCCAGACATAGGACCACCCTGTCCGTGTGGAATGTGCAGAGATTTTCCCTGATAGTGCTGCCAATTCTGAAATGTGCCTTGCCGAAGTAACGACGACCAGAAATGCGACCTTAAGAGTCAAGCACTGTAATGTACAGGTCCGAATAGGTTCAAATGGAGGTGAGGTAATGGCCTGTAGGACCTTAGACAGGTCCCAGGAGGGATATCTGTGGACCACGGGTGGTCTGTTGTTTGTTGCGCCCTTTATGAAGGATCACACCATTGGGTGTTTGGCCAGTGGTTCAGAGTTGCCATATGTGAGTATAGTGGACAGGGCGGCCACCTGTCTGTGCATTGTGTTGGGTACTAAACCCCTATCAAGACCCTCCCATAAGTAGTCTAAGACCCTTGGGATAGTAATCTTAAAGGGGTCTAGTTGCTGTTTTGTGCACCAGCTGCAGTAATTTCTCCACATGGAGTCGTAAATTCTGTTGGTCGTAGGCCTTCTTGAGGCCTGGATTGTCTTGATGACTCTTTGTGAATAGGCCTCCCCTTCTAGGAGGCTCCGCTCAAGTGCCAAGCGGCTAGTTGGAGCCACTGTGGCTCTGGGTGTTGTAGAGCCCCCTGACTGAGGGAGATTCTGTCGTGGGGAATCCTCCATGGAGGAGATATATTAATACTTATGAGGTTGGCAAACGACGGCCGTCTTGGCCAGTGTGGTGCAATGAGTATCACCTCTGCTTGTTCCTGCAATATCTTTCTGATGGTTGCTTGTATCAGAGGAAGTGGTGGGAAGGCATATAGCAACCCCTCCGGCCAGTGCCCCTGGAGCGCATCTGCTCTCTCCACCCCCCCGGGGATGGAAAACGGGAGAAGAACCTCGGGAGCTGAGTATTCTTGGAGCTGGCAAATAGGTCCAGCACTGGGTGGCCAAACCTCTCTGATGCTTCCCTGAAGATAGCAGGGTGCAGGCTCCACTCTGAGTGGTCCACTATTGCCCTGCTCAGAAAATCCACCTGCTGATTCGCTACTCCTGAGATGTGCTCGGCCCTGAGGGAGGCTAGGTTGTCCTTGGCCCATGTTCCCAGCGATTGGGCCTTGGCCATGAGGGGTTTGGACTGCGTGCCCCCGTCGGTTGACGTGTGCCTTTGCCGCCACGTTGTCTGTGAGCACTAGGACGTGCTGGTCCGCCACTGTGTTGTGAAAGTGACGGAGGGCCAGATGTATGGCTCTGAGTTCTAACCAGTTTATGTTGTGTCTTAGATCCTCTTTTGACCATTGGCCCTGTGCCAGTTGTGATTGTAGGTGTGCTCCCCAACCGAATATGCTGGCGTCTGTGGTCAGAATGACTCGGGCTGTCTCCAAGAACATGTGTCTCTTTCTCACTGCTGGAGACGACCACCACTGGAGCGACTTCAGGACCCTTGGTGGAACCCTTACTCTTTGGTTGGAGGAGCCGGTTCCCCTTTTTTGGAACGGGAGTAGGAACTGCAGGTCTCTGGAGTGTAGTCGTGCCCAGGGCACGATTGCTAGACATGAAATCATCTTTCCCAGCAAGTGGGAGAGAGTGGCCAGTGTTGTGGTTCGTCTCTTTCGAATCAGTCTGACCAGGGTTCGAATGCTGTTTTGGCGTTCTCGAGAGGTAGACTTCGCAGCTTAGTGTGTCTATCACAGCTCCCAGATGAAGAAAGTGGGTCGATGGGACCGTCTGGCTCTTTTGGAAGCTTACTGAGAACCCGTGTTCCTGAAGTGTTCTTAGGGTCAGTGTCAGATCTGACTAGGCCGACAAGGATTGGATGAGAATGTCGTCCAGGTAACACTGGATGAGCACAGGAATTGTTCACAGATGTGCGGTGAGTGTCTCCAGTACTTTTGTGAATACTCTGGGAGCTGAAGAAAGTCCAAAGGGCAGGGCCCTGTATTGAAAATGCTGTCCTGCGTGACAGAACCTGAGAAACCTTCGATGTTCCGGAAGTATGGGAATGTGAAGGTAAGCCTCCGTCAGATCTATGGACGTCAGAAGGTCTCCCCTTCTGACGCCTGCTAACATTGACTGGAGAGTCTGCATTTTGAACTTTCTGTATGCCAGGTGGGTGTTCAGACTTTTTAAGTTTAGAATTGCTCTCCATCTCCCCAAACTCTTTGGGACTATAAATAAGATGGAATAGAATCCCTGTCCCTGTTGCCCTTTTTGCAACGGTTCTATGGCCTGGATGTCCAGGAGGTGCTGAATGGCCTCCTTCTTTTTGGTCGGATCTTTGGGTGATGGGCAAGGGACGAAGCGGTTCGGGGGTTTGGAGATGAATTCCAGTGAGAGGCCAAATCTGATGGTATTTAGGACCCAAAGGTCCGTGGTGGTGGCTTGCCATTTGTGGGCGAAAAGAGCAAGCCTGCCACCAATGGGGGAGTCCTCCCCGCCGTCACTTGGATTTTCGAAAGGGGCGACCCCTCACTCCTCGAAAGGGCTGCTTTGACTGGAATTGTTGTCTGAATATGTCCCTGTTACCGGATCTGTCGCCCTGTCGGTCCGATCTGGATTGATAAGAGCGGGAAAAGATGGTAGGTTCTGGACCTGCTTCTGATCGAAAGGGCTGCTGTGAGGGTAGGAAGAGACTCCTATCCATGCTCCTTGATAGGTGGGCCAGTACTTTGCGTTTGTCCTTGTTTTCTATCAGATAAGGATTAAGAGCCTCACCAAAAAGCAGGCCGCCCCTGTAGGGCGCTGCCGCCAACCGCCACTTTGCCTTAATATCGGCTCGCCACTGTCTGAGCCACAGTAATTTACGTGCTGTGGTGTTGTACGCTATTGCCCTGGCAGAATAGTTTGCTGCGTGCAAAGATGAATCTGCCATGAACTCCGCTGCCGCCACTAACCTTCTTAAGTCCTGGTGGGTTCTTTCCTCCTTTGGGGAGGTCCTCGTCTGGAGTTGGCGCAGCCAGAGCAACAAAGTCCTAACGAAAAAGGAGGTAGAAATGGCTGCCTTGATTGCCCACACCGAGGCCTGGTGTGTCTTGCGGAAGGTGAGATCCGCCTTCCTATCTTCGGACTTCACGGCCTCCGCTGCATCCCCGGTTACCGTGGATGGGAAAAAAACCGCAGCTAGAGGTTCATCTACTGTCGGAACCTCTATTATCTTCGATAAGGCCGGATCTATGTTGAACATTTTCTTGTCTGTCCCCCCCCCATTGGGAGGAAAGACCCCGGTGCCCCCAGATTATTCTGAATTGTATCAAAGAAGAGAGGGGGGCAGGGAATAAATTGTTGTGCGTAAGTGGGCTGTGAGAACACCCTGTTGTTTGTGACCTGACTAGTCAAAGGTCCCTCCTGAGGGAACAAAGGTCTCTCAATCTTTGTGGTGCTGCTGGCCTTGTGGAGCAGGGATTTGAATAGAGTTGGGTTAAAGAGACCCACGAATGGTGGAGGGTCTGGGGATATATCATCGTCCTCTGACAGCCCCTGATACGTTTGCTCATAGTCCTCCGCAGGAGACCTCCTGCTTCTGGAGGAACGAGAAGGGGAAATTGAGTCCTGGTACGCAGAGGCTTCCTCTTGGGAAAGGTGGGAACGGCCTCTTGAAGCCACAGACCCGGGTCTGGAACAATGATGTCTTGAAGAGGCCATGGCCTGAGCGACAGCCTGAGATATCAGGGATTGTAAGTGTTCTGATGACAATGCTCCCTGATTGCCTGAGAGACGAGGACCTGCTGCTGACCCCGGGCCTTCAGGCCCTTCACTTACAGGAGATCCGATTGCCTGCTCTGCGTTAGCCTCTGTTTCCAGAGGTTCCTGACTAGGCTCTGTTTCCAGAGGTTCCTGACTAGGCTCTGTTTCCAGAGGTTCCTGACTAGGCCATATATTTCCTCCTCCTTGTAAGTAGGTGGGACTAGACTGTCTTCTGTTGTGTTTTGCCTCTTTTCGGCTCTAGAGAACTGTTTTTCCAGGGCCTGGTGTCGATGTTTGGCCTCCTTATCTGCTGCCTTGGAAGACCTTTTGCCAGACATTGCTTTGGCCTTGATCCTGCCCGCCGCCTCCTGGTTGGATGATCTTGGCCTCTTACACCAGGAGGGCTAATGGAGGATTCCTGCGCTGTCTGGGCAGCGTTTGTGTCTGCCATTGGCAAAAGAGATATCCCAGTGCAAGACTGAGAGAAATCTCTATTAAGAGGACTGGTGAAGGTCTAATCCAGGGGACAATCTGCTAGTGATTGTAACAGGTTCCGATGACTGTCTCTCTTTTCCTTCCTTTATATATATCTATGTTAATTTAACTTTTTTTTATATAACATGGCTAGGTAGAGCGAAGGGATTGCTTAACTCCGATTGCCTTGAAAAAGGAGCACGGCTTGAATGCTCCCTCCCCCCCGCTTCAGAGAACACGTGGAGTCAAGATGGCGACCGATCTCCTTGTTCGCTCTCCGCAGCTCAGCTGAGTTCCCGGAAAAGTCGGCAGAGCTCTGTTTGCACTCCGCTGACTAGCTGGGCTCCGGGGAAAAATCATGCGGAAATTTTATGCTCTCCGTCGATCAGCTGAGCTTTGGGGGAGCCGCGGGAGTCCTGTAGTTCTCCGCGGATCAGCTGGGCTTCGGGGAAGCCTCGCGGAATTCTTATTCCTGTGGTTGTGAGTAGACTGAAATTGGAAAGTTCAGCTGCTCCTTGCGGAAAACTAAAACTGAGGCGCTCCCTGTGGGAGGGGGTGGTGGTGGTGGAAGGGAATCCTCCCTTCGCCCTAGAGTTCACGCGGTGCCAAAATGGCACCCGGCTCTTTGTTCTCTCTCCAACTATCGGCTGGGCTAGAGCAAGCCTTGCGGCTGCGTTGCAATCAGCAGGAACGGCAAACGAACAGCCGTTCATTTTCCACTCCCCCACCTTCGAGTAGAAGTTAAGAAAGGTAAAATACCACCTGATCTAGTGATCTGATCCTGGAGCCAAGATGAATCTGTCTGCTCGGGCTATAGACTAAGTCGAGACTGGGAAGAGGAGGACCCAGGAAGAGAGGCGTGGCAAAAACTGGCTGACTTAGTCTACGGGCAGAAGACAAGCATAACCCATTGGTGGATTCTCCACTCGTCATACTGGAGAATAGAATGGTTTGAGCAAGTGGTTAGCTCAAAGACAGCTTTGATGGGTGAGGATGAACTAGAACATGGATCTTCCCAGTCTTAATCTAGCACTGTAATAACCATTGTTTCTCTTTGATTCAACCATGATTAGGAAGTCTAATAGCAATGTTCCCAGGGAAGCGACAATGGATAGTTAAAGAGCTTGAGAAAGTAACAAAATTATTTTCCTTTCTTCTTTCCAGTGAGGTTTAGCATTGTTAAGAGTTCCTCCCCAAAAAATGAAAGAAAATCCAATCCAATTAATTTCTGAATATAAAATACGGGTTATTCCAAGTCCATTTATCATGCCAAATTCGTTCAATAAAAGTTGGGAAAAGGATATCACTAAAATATTATGTATGTGTCATGTATGTGTTTCACTTTGAGAGCGGGCAACTAAATTTCATTTTTGATGTGTGCCGTTGTGCCCACAGTAAAAAAAATGACAATAAAGGTTATCTTATCTTATTATAAACAGTTCATAATTTAAAAAAATTACTCCAAGAACCTAAATGTTGTAAAAGTCCTAAGTTGCACAATTAAGGTAGGAGCTGTGAAGACTGATGAGGTGCCTTCTCAGTAGTGCCCGTGTCTTATGCATTGCTCTGCCTCCCAAGATGATGTCCCCAACCTCCAGGCCTTCAAGATCTTTTTATTACATGTATATGGAAACTGATAATTCTTGGGCTTAATCAGATTGTTGATGGTTTATATTGTTTTGCTTGTACTGTAAACTACCTCAAGCCCTTAAATTGATAGACTAAAAATAAAATGAATGAAAAAAGATCTCGTGTCTCTTTTCCCTTCTTTCTCCCTACTGCACCAGCCCTACCCCTACAAGTGTGCTCTGGAAGATCTCTAACCCAGGAAGGATGGCTCAAGCTGTGGAACACCCAAACCTGTTCTGCTAGCAGTATCTATTCAGCTGGATAAGCATCATTAAATTTTAACTTAAACTCATGCTAGTAATAATACTAATATATCACTGTGATTCTTTTGATTCTCTATTTAGAGAAATATACAATCTGACCCAAATTCAAATGCATTCTTATTCTAAAATCTTCACCTGGCAAAGCTGGTCCAGAAAGGAGAAATGCTTGTGACTGTGCATCAGTAGAACAACAAGGATCTGTTTGGTGAAAGTTTTCTAGATGTCTTCTCTTCTGCATGCGTTTGTATTCCTGTTTTATATTGTACAGAATTTGCTCTAGAAAAAAGAAATGAACATGAGTATGAATTCTATCTCAATCATTTCAAATAATTTAAGTTAAAAGAAAATACTCTAACAAATGGCATTACAGGTATTGTCAATTGTTTCAGAAGTTCAACTTATCAACTAAACTTATCAATTAAAAATCATTCTACAATTTCCAACCCTATTCACACCTTTCATATAGCTGCAAGATATGGAATAAAGAAAACAGCATTAAGCCCACTGATAGTGTTCTCTGCTTTCTCCTAGATAATAATAGCATGGAAACTAACCATTACCTGTGTTTTCCTTCCACAACTTAGCACTAGTGAAAATATAATTCATCTATCTTTCCAGGTTTCAGACCAAGAAAGGTATAAAACGTACTTCTTTTATTCCTACACATATATAATATTGTTCCACTATTTAGGTTACATTACAGAAGCATCCACAGGTTTTGCAGTATAGGCAATCTTTGACTTACAACCGTTCAATTCATTGTCCATTCGAAGTTAAAACAGCACTGAAAAAAGTGACTTATGACCATTTCTCACACGACCCTTGCAGTATCCCCATGGTCATGTGATCAAAATTCAGATTCTTGGCAACTGGCATGTATTTATGACAGTTGCAGTGTCCTGATGTTATGTGTTCACCATTTGCGACCTTCTGATAAGCAAAGTCAATTGGGAAGCCAGATTCACTTAACAATTGTCGCAAGAAAGGTTATAAAAGGGGGCAAAACCCATTTAACAACTGTCTTGCTTAGCAATGAAAATTTTAGGCTGAATTATGGTCTAAGTCCAGGACTACCTGTAATTGTTCACTGCACACATATTAGTATCTTCAATAGGAGCAATTAAGTAACATATTTTATATTGAAAACTACTATATTTTTTCTGTGAAAATTCAGCACTGCCTTTCTTGTCCCTCATCCAATGATTTCTGTCCAGTGTCCACAGAAGCAGCCATTACTCTATTACAATGGTACCTTGGTACTCAACTGCTTTGAAACTCATCAAATTTGGTACTCAACACATTGTGACATGAAAATTTTGTCCCTGTTCTCATCGTTTGTTTGGTACTCAATGCACAAGCTAGAAACCTGTACATGTTGGCTGCCTTATGACTCACTACATTATTCCCTATGGGAAAAATCTGTTTGATATTCATTGGTTTTGGAACTCATCCTGCCTTCTGGAACTATTTAAGGATGAGTACCAAGATACCACTATGTTTGAGAATCTTTCTTGTCCATGACCAAAAAAGTATATTTTTGCTTGCCTGTTATATCTCCAAGAACATTTAATTGCTTCACAAAAAACTCAGAAACATATTTTATTCTGTCAGCAAATAATATATCTAGCACCAAGATTATAACAAAAAGCACATTAAATTATCTGTATATAAAATTGTAACATTTGGAGATCTAAGCCCTGCAATTCACATAAAAATTTGCCTCTCCCCAATATATTATTTTGGAATCCAGATGTACAACAACTCATGGTTGCTAGCTATTTCAATTTACCAAACAACTTTTCTTATTATGGACTCCATTCTTTCTTACAGGCAGTCCCAATGGAAGCTTAGTTTAATAACTAAGCTCAATAAATAATTATATAAATTTATACCTAGAAAAAAATACTGAAGGGGGAAAGGAAGAAAAACAGTAGAAACAATCTCAGATGAACAATCACCTAGCTAGAAAATCTCTAATCTGAGAAAACTATGAGCCAATATTTTACAATAATGAATTTCTTAGGCAAACAAATTTATTTAAGGGCCACCGGAGACTACAATGAACATAAGGATATCCATAAAAGCATCAGGTAACTCAAATACACCAACTAGCCACCCTTGCTAAAATTATTAGCAAAATTGCACTTACTATTGATGTGTACTCTATTCATATTGCTAAAGACAGGAATCTTATTCTCCCCCCTTAATTGTCTTATGATAGCAGCTGCAATTCCTCCTACTAAAGGGATTAGCAACAGTTACTGTAGAAAAGTACCAACTTGCAAGAATCTGGTTTCAACCTGATCACAAATCTATTAAATATGCCATCAAGTCAAATTCACAGTTTATTCCACACATCAGCAACATTTCTATAGATTTCCTTTCAGGGCATATACAAATCATTGACTTTTTTATAAAATAAATCTATTTTATAAAATGGAAAATATATTTCAGAAAATGATTAGAATTCAAAAAGATAATTTCTAATTATATTGTAGGGTTCTAGAAATATGGAAATGAGAACAGTTAACTGCTCTAAAAGTGCAAAGACAAAGTTAATGAAAAGACAGTAGTATGATGGAGTACACCTGGAAAAGGGGGAAGAATTTGAATATGACTTTGAAGATAAAGTAACACAAAATGGTGAACAGATTACATTCCTGAAGGCTTTAGTGTTCGAGGAAACAGCTTTTGCCTGAAGTATGTCATCAAAATGTTTAGTATACAGATTGTCAGGGATAATCCTAAGAATTTACCTGAGATAAAAAAATTCAAAAGAACTGATTATCAGCATGTGTGGTTGCAGTATTCCATTAATATAGCAAGAGTTTGGTGTTTCAAAAAAAGTCAGTGTACTAAATGTAATTAGTTTGTAGCAGATTCCCTGAATAAAGCAGGAAATCTAAATTAATTCTCTTTGAATTTGAGCTGATTTAACTCCAAGTGACTTCACTAATGTTATCAGCGTTTGTTCTAGATTCATTGTTATTTACAAAATAATTTTATATGGTATGCATTGTCTAGAAACAAACATTCTGAATGTTGATGAATTTACATTTTTATCAAACACCAAAGATGCATTATCACTATGAGAATAAAATCTTCCTAATTAAAATATTGTGGTTTGAATTATTTGAATAATTATTTAAATATATTGGATAAAATCCTCCCAACTTCCTTTAGAAGACGGTTGTTAAATGCAGCTAGATAGTGAGCTTAAATATGCATGCTCATGAAGATTTGCCATGAAAAGGGGACACATTAGGATTTTTCTAGGACTGGCAAAGCTAATGTCAGGAAAACAAAACTTGAAATGAGGTTGGTAAAAAATGCTAAGAACAATATTGAGGGCTTCTTTGAGTATCTTTAGAATAAAAAAGATTCAGTGTACCAGTGGCTGAAGACACAGAAATGCTGATAAATAAAAGGGAAAGCTATTCATCTTTGATTCAGTCTTTAATAAAAAAAAAAATCCCACCAGAATATTGTAAAGAGCAAAATGAAGTAGCAAATGTGAAATTTCAGTCCAATAGAAATGTTAAGAAATCTCTTTATTTTAATGTTTAGAGTAAATTTCAAAGTAAACCACATTCTAAATTACTATCTAATGACTAGATCAGACTTCATTGTTTTATCACAGAGAATTCCTGGAGATATGGTAAAGAGCCAAGTTACTAAAGGAGACAAATGCTTCTCTTTTAAGAAAAAAAAAGTGGGGAAAGGAGAAACTACAGACTAATCAATCTGACATTGATGTCTTCTCATAATATTTTTATACAAATGTCATATCCCAATTTTCTAGTGACTAAATGAAATATGATGTAACATTGTTCCATTTCAATAATGTAAACATTGTTCCATCACAATAATGTAAATAGCACCACTTCCACATTATGCCTATTATGCCATCTATAACCTCAGTTTCCCTTTGACACATAGCTTGACATTTTCAATGTATGTTACGCTATTATTAAAAGTGTCATTATTATTTAGTAATCAGTGGACATACAGCAAACAAGACATATTAGTTCTTCAAGACAATCAAGTGCTCTTCCAGGTATAGCATCCTTGATACTGACTATTCCTGCTTCAAGCAATATATACAGACCTGACCTTGTGAGGCGGATTCATGTTGATCATACTAGCAGAATAGCCAGGTTTTTTTTTGTTTAGTATGGATTTTAATTTTTAAGAAAAGAGGAAAATCTAGGAAAAATTAACATACATCCCAAATTAATATTCTGATATTATTTAAGTTAAATATTAGATACATAATTTTACTTTTGGAGTAAAAATAAATATGGAAGAGGATATTTAAAATATTCTATGGAGACTGGTAAAAAAAATCAACTGACATTATATCTACATGCTTTTTCAAATTGATACTAAAGTATGGTACATTTCACATAACAAAGGAAAATATTCTATGAACACATCAATAGTATTTTTAACTTTACTATTTTTTAATTGTGAAGTACAACGCTTTTAGTTTTTCATATAAGGCACCACCAATATTGGGATACAAAGTACTAAGTGACTTATTACTCAACCAAACCAATTTTTAAAATGTTGCTGCAAAAGCAGTTTATTGGAACAATGTCCTAAGACGTAGGCTCATATGACTACATAGGTTGCCAGTGGCATTTATGAATGTAAGCCAAGTCCATTAACACTGGATCTTGGCAGGAATTATTTACAATGTTCTAAATATGTCCTCTAATGGTTCGATCATACATTTAAGTCATCAAATGATGAATAGACATATGTGAACTAGTTTAAGATAATGCTCACAAGGTAATTCAAAAATGTTCAAAGTCAAGCAACTGTGAAAAATGTTGAAATAGCTATATTGTAAATAAATGTAAGCCTCCATCTAATAATTTAACAACTTTATATGCACAATATGGTTCTCATTAAAACTGATGTATCAAGAGCGTGCTAAGTCAAAATTCTCTTCTTGAACTTATACAAGAAATGATAGTACAATTTTGGATATATTTTCATTAAATTTCTGAGTAAATCATGGGACTCTTCCAGGTATACGATTGTAGTTGCAATAAAATAATTAGTACTCTAGTATAAGGTTGTTTAGTCTGAAAAAGAACCACATGATGGAATGAGTATGTATGTATGATATGTAATGTATGTATGTATGTATGTATGTATGCATGCATGTATGTAAAACTGAGAATTCAGGAAAACTCAGATTTAAATCCCTACTCAGGTATGTTGTTCACTTGGTACCTTTGCACTGATCATTTCTCAGTATAATCCAC